CGCACCCGCTGATTGTCCTCCATTTTTCATTGTGTCGATCACTTCCATATTATCAAAGTTGACAATAAGGCGATTGCAACCAGCCTTCTCTGCAAGGATTAAGCCAAACCTTAGAGCTAGTGCTTCTGCTGTTAATACATCAACACACCAATCAATCCTCCAATTTCCGCCAACAATGAACCTTCCTTTGTCATCTCTGAGGACAGCCCCTGCCGTGATCCTAAGCAGATCGTGATCAAAGGAAACATCAACATTTAGTTTCACAATACCCATAGGAGGTCTGCTCCATCCCCTTATTTTACTGGTTGCCTTAGGGGAGTGTGCATTAACGTAGTTCGCCGTTATGGCACGAGCCCCCATCGAAGTTTGATGTGCATCTTGAGACTTTCCTTCATGAACCAGTTTACGTCTATCCCACCATAGATATCAAGTGGTTATAGCAATCGATTCACGTACATTCTGGAGTCCCAGTACAAATAATTCTTGGTCTGGCATAATAGTAACAATTCAAGAACTGTCTCTCCCGCCCGATCGACACTACAAGCTCTATTGATCACCTCATACAATCCTAACTTGTTCCAAACCTCTTTGCCTTCTGACACAGAAACAAGACGTGTTTTGTCTCTTCTGGCCCATTTGAGCATGATGGGTAGATGGGCGAAATTTTCATGTGTCTATTAGCGAGCGTAACACGGCACGGGAGAGTTCCATGCAATGTATGCCAGATGAAATTTTTTACCTTTGTTGGACAAGATAGTTTCCAGATCTTACCCCAGATAGGATTAGCATTGGTTCTACCCATACCATTTGTATATTGCAATTTCCTCCCATGTTGTTGGTTCCATTCCTCCGAATAAGCTGATCGAACAGTGAACAAGCCATTTTTTGTATAACACCAAGCAATGAAGTCCGACATATCATGCATTGGAAGGGGAATCACGAGCACCCTTTGAGCGTCAATTGGACACAAAGTTTGTCTCACCAAGTCTTCATCCCAACAATTCATGATTGGGTCAATAAGGTCAGACACCTTTGACAAAAGATGCCTCCTTCTAGGAGTAATAATTTTCCTACTTGCACAATTCGGGATCCATGCATCTTCCCAAATATCAATCTTTTGTCCATTTCCAACTCGCCAGATGTAACCATTCCTTAGGGAATTAACTCCTGCCATAATGCTTTGCCAGGTAAAAGATGAACCCTTCTTTAGATTTGCATTCATTAAATCACCATCTGGGAAGTATTTTGCTCTCAAGATTGTAGCACATAACGATTCTGGATTATCAAGCAAATGCCACGCCTGTTTCGCTAGCAAAGCCAGATTGAAACAATGTATATCTCGGAAGCCCATGCCTCCTTGGTCTTTTGGGACACACATCTTCCACCACGCCATCCAATGCATCCTCTTCTGATTGTCATCGTCACCCCATCAAAATTGCGACATCGCGTCAATGATTCCTTAGCAATTTTTTTTAGGAATTTTAAAGACGGACATAACATAAGTTGGGATAGCTTGTACAACAGCTTTGAGGAGAACTTCCTTTCCTCCAGCGGATAACATTTTTTCTTTCCATCCACTAATTTTTGTAATAATGCGGTCAATTAGGAATTGGAAACACTCGCTTTTGTCCATACCCACATTTGCAGGCAAACCCAAATATTTGTCATTGAGAACTTCAGTCATAATATTCAGAATTGTGCAAATTTGCGCCTTGTCTTCCACTTTTGTCTTGGGACTAAAGAAAATACTCGACTTTTCAACGCTCACCATTTGCCCCGAAGCAGCACAATAAGAATCCAAAATTGATTTCAACGCCTCCGCATTCGTAGCATTTGCTTTTATAAGGATCAAAAAATCATCGGCGAAGAGAAGGTTTGAGATCGATGGGGCATCTCTACAAACCTTAACTCCAGAAATATTACCATTCTCCTCCGCATTAGCTAGAAGAGTCGTCAGCCCCTCTGTACATAGCAAGAATAAATATGGAGAGAGAGTATCTCCCTACCTCAAACCTCTAGTAGGTTTAAAACTCTCAGTCTCTTCAGTATTAAAGCGAACCCGGTACTCCACCGAAGATACATATTGCATAATTAAATTTACCCAGTTCTCTTGGAATCCCAATTTCAACATAATTTTCTTTAGAAAAGACCACTCTACCCGGTCGTACGCTTTGTGCATATCCAATTTGATGGCACACATACCATCTTTACCATTCCTTTTTTTCTTTATTGTATGGAAACACTCGTATGCCACTAAAATGTTATCTGTAATCATTCTTCCGGGTACAAATGCACTCTGAGTCGTGCTGATAATATCTGGAAGAATTATCTTCAAACGAGCCGCAATCATTTTTGAAATAACCTTATACACCACATTGCACAAACTGATTGGTCTAAACTGATTTACCTTTTCTGGAGAACTAACCTTTGGGATCATTACAATTGCCGTATCATTCCACCCATCAGGTATAGTACAAGTATTCACCGCCTGCAGTACCTCCTCGGTCAGATCATCCCCCAACATAGACCAAAATCTTTTATAAAAATAGTGTGTAACTCATCCGGACCCGGCGCTTTTAAATCTCCAATATCAAATAGAGCCTTCCGAACCTCCTCATGTCTTTGTTCTTATATGTCTTTACTAGTTGCCCATGTATTTTTATATGCGTGTTTGTGTTAGCTGCGTGCATCCTAACTGTGCAGAGGCCAGGTATGTGAGTTTATAATGTTTGTATTCTCTTGATGCTCCACTCTGGGACAATAAAATCCATCATTTGTCAAAAATAGACTGTTGGCCTTAGCAGAAAATTCATAATCATCAAAAGTTATATTCCACATTTTTTCTATCATCGGATGTTGTAAAAGGTTTTAATAATATATTGTTTTGATTAACACATATTTTTGTTGATCAAATGATAGTCAAAGTTTTCCTCAAATACAAGGGCATTGTATATTGATATAGAGGGAGTACAGTTTACTTCCATTGCTACTTTATATTCTTTGAACAAATATACATGATGATTGCATTTTCTTGAATTTATTTCAGACTTTCCGGCGATACTTGTTCAGTAAGAGGAGATGTTTCCGTCGACTACAGAAACGTCAGTGATGATTCAAGATGACATGCCACTCAATCTTTTGAAGGTAACTCATAGGGTAAGGTGTGTGCGCATGTGTTCAAGGTGAGTGTATGTGCGCATACATGAGCGCCTGTGTCTGAACTACGTTAAAATAAATAATTTTACAGGACCAAGTTTCTACAAGTAATCCACATTCGTGATTTCCCCGGTAGTTTTACATATAATGTGTATAAAAAATGAGCTACTAAGTTTTGAAAGTTGTAGTGTCATAATTGTATAGTTGAAGAACTTTTCTGTTTTGTTTTGTTTTAGTGAGCTTAGTTGAAGCATTAGGGCATGTACAATGGTGGCATCACTATACTGGTGCCCCATGCTCCACCTAAATAAAAGGTAACTGAAGCTACTGTTTAGTTCTACCTTCATCCAACGGAAGCAGTAGTAGTGTTCTCAGGTTTGGTAGCTTTTTCTCTGTACAAAAAGGTAGCAAGGTACTGTTGAGCTCAGCAATGGTGTTTTCCAACGCTTTCCCATTGGCTGCCTTGCACTTTTTTCACGGGAGAACCAGCCTCCTCTGCAGGATCCCGTCTAGCGCTGCAAGCAGCATCTTTTTCTCAGGTTCAACTATCCAAGCCGACTTGGCAGCTGGGGCACCGGTCCATCCTGGAGCGTTGGCCTTGCCCTTAGCAGTGCTTTTTTCTTATGAAAAGGATCGGATCTTTTACAAAAGTTTATCACAGCAACTCTTTTTTCTATCAGCATCTCTTTATCTGACAACAAATTCTATCGATTAGGCACTAGGTTATTAAACACAAGGCATCTCAAATACTCGTATGATAGAAGTTGTATCGAGATTTCATGACCAGACGATCACTACTGCCGCCACTGTGCTTTTAGTTACTCCCTCCGTCCGGAAATATTCGTCGGAGGTATGAATGTATCTAGATGTATTTTAGTTCTAGATACATTCATTTTTTATGCATTTCTTCGACAAGTATTTTAGGACGGAGGGAGTACTTCTTAATGGCACTGGATGGGAGTTGGTGATTAAGATTTCGCGACTTCGACTGATTGTAACTTGATTAAAGCGTGACGCGCGTCGAGTGAGTTCACGAAAAGGCGAGGCGAGATGAGCCAGCCGTGGTGCCATGGCACATCAGGTCCTGAACTGAAAGGGTTGCTGTTTAAGGTTGTTGGCGCGTAACGTCGGTCCCATCCATTGGCCGGGTGCGCGCGCCCTGCAGCTGACACACCGCCTGCCTCCGGACCACGGGTTACATCTCCATCAACCGTGCACGGACCCGAGTCGATCGGAGGCGTGTACATGCGACGACACCGGGCTACCAGAGGTGGCCAGGCGAGTCCCGTGGTCACGCGCCGCAAGAGGAGTTCTCACAAAGTCGCAAGCAACGCGCGTGCGGCGTCACGCGAGGACGCGGTGCGGGCCGACGACTGTCAAGTCCAGACGCGGACCGGCGGTTTTCGCGCCCGCGCGACGACCCGACGAGGAAAACTTTCAGTCCAGCGGGTGTAGGTGGAGATCTGAAACGGAGAGAGCGCGTGCGGTCGGTCAAAATAAACCCCCACCGCCACGTATGACGCGCTCAAACTCCACGGTCTCTTCTTCAAAGAAACACGGAGTCATCCACAAAGGCTGAGAATTACTTCATCTTCCTATACATAACAATTTTGCGTAGATTTGATCTACTGTTGTACTGGGTGCAAATTGATAACCAGGTGCACTACATGAATCTACCACTGGCAATCTGGGATACTGCCACTTGAGGAAAGGAGTTTCACCTTTCTCCTGCGCGCCACGTGGCATGCAGTCACGAGGAGCATGCTCATCTAAACTTACACTAACGGTTGACAGTTGCCTGTACGTACTACGGCACGAGCCGCGCGATTGTTACAGCTGCACGGTCACGGGGAGGGGGTGGCGCTCATCATCATCCCACGGGAAATCGCGGCGAGCACGGTCTCGGCCGTGAGCCGCTCGGGCCCCGCCGACCGCACCACGAGCGTGTGCGTGACGGTGTCGTCGGCCACCGCCATGCTCGACGCCACCACACTCAGCTGGGAGTCCCGCATGGCGCTCAGCGCCCCGGAGATGGGGTGCGCCTCGAGGGGGGTGCTCACGCGCAGCACCACCTCGTCCTGCATTGTCTTCACCTCCACGGACGGGCCGGTCTCCGCCCGCGCCGGCGCCGGCCCCGCCGCGCCGCCCCGGAGCCGCTCCTCCAGCTCCTGGATGTACGCGATGGCGTCGCTCAGCAGCGACGCCTTGTCCATCTTGGAGATCTTGGGCACCACCGCGCGCAGCGCGTAGAACCGCTGGTTCAGCTTCTCCCGCCGCTGCCGCTCCGCCTCCACGTGGTTCAGGGGCTCCTCCCGCCCGTTCGCCGGCTTGCGCCCCCGCTTCCGCGGCCTCCGCTCCTCGCCGCCCGCCTGCTTCTGTGCGTCGACAGCCTTGCTGAAGCTTATGGTCTTGGGAGGCTCCTGCTGGGGTTTCGGTTTGACTGCCGCCACCTCCTGCTTGGCCGGAGTCGCCACCATGGCTTGCCCGCCGAGCCGCAGCGCCCAACTGGCGTCGCTCCCCGTGGTTTGCACCGGCGGCAATGGGGGGCTGCGGGAGACGTCCTTCCCGAAGATCCTCATGCGATCGTCCGGCGCGACGGCCTCGACGTGGAAGGCAGATTGGATGGCGCGCAGGACCTCGGGGTTCTCGCACATGGCCACGGCGGAACCGAGCTCAAGGACGCCGCCCTTGCAAGGGAGGAAGACGATGGTGCGTAAGCCGGCGGACTGGGCGAGGGACGCACGGACGTACCACCCGGGAGCGGCCGCAGAGCCGGGCAGGTGGGGATCGACGGTGGCCCAGGCGTGGTGGCCGGAGGTTAGCGCGCGGCCCGGCCCGCCGGCGTCCTCGTGGAACGAGAAGTACATGGACGCCAGGAAGTACATCTCGACGCCAGTGACCCGGTCTAGCCGGAGCGCGTAGTCGGCGCCATCGTCGTCCCCGCCGCCATACAGCGCGTGCAGCCGCAGCAGCGCGCGCTTGCGCGCCAGGCTCCTGTCCGTGACCCGGGCTTCCTCGGCCGGGCCATCGCGGCAGTGCCCGTCGCCCCAGCCGAGCACGGGGCGGCCGCCGGCGCCGGCGCGGGACTCCTGCCAGTAGATGCCGTAGGTCCAGGCTCCTCCCCGCTCGACGAGGTCGCAGAGGCGCGCCTGGAGCTCGGGCGACGAGGAGGCCGGGCCGTCGAGGTGCGGCGGCGTGGTGGCCAGGTGGCGCGCGGCGTCGTGGCCCAGGACGGCCGCGAAGAGCGCCGCGTCCGTGTCAGACCACGACATGCGGTGCAGCCGTGCGTGTCCTGCGAGAGCGTTGGTCTGTCGAAGAAATGGACCCGGCCAACAAGCTAGCGCTGCGCTGCCTTTGGTAAGGTCGCTATGCTCTCGGTCGGCTTGGTGGTTTCACAGTTTGTGGTTTTATATAGAGCCGAGCCGGAGCCAGCTTCCAGCCCTGGATATGACAGAGGAAGCTCACGTGCGCGAAGAAGTTGATTTTCTCAGTTGGTCACTGGACTACAAGTCTACAAGCTACAAGTAATAACTGTGCTGTGGACTGTTGAGTGGATGCGCCCCCGTTAAAAACGAGACGCGGCCGTACGACAAGGAAGGAAGGTACGGGAGCCAGATGGGTTCGGCGCACCGGGACGGGGGACGATTTGCCGAGAGAGCACTGGTGCCGTGTCACGTGAATCATGTTGGCAATGCATGCAGTACTGAGCAGCGAGTGAAGATGTCAGGATCCACACGATGCGATGGTGCCGGCAATGCTACACGTACAAACGATTTACAGTTTTTACAAGATGGTTAATCTTGATTGGTCAATAGGTGAGCGGGGCGGTCCACTCCTGAAAATCAGGGAGGAGAGGTTTGTGATTGATTGTTAGATGAAAGGAGCATGTAAAAGCGTGTAAGTTTTTGTATGTATAGCATTTTTGCGATGGTGCTGTACGTGGGAATCGGGAGTAGGGTGAGCTGTCAGACAATCTGTTCTAGATGCCGAGAACCTGCTGTGCTGCGACATGCATGCATCCCCGTACCTTTTGTTCGACTACATCAGATGAACCGTTTTGAGCAGTTCGGTGTATATACGGACGGTGCCTTTTGATGGTCGGGCCGGCGAGTAATGATTTGGAGAGAGCTGGGTAGAAGAGGGCGCAAACCGCACGCAAAATGGGACTCGGTGCACGCACGCACGCACGCACCAAAAATGACACGGCAAACGCAGAGCGCGTAGTACGCGGTTTCGTCGCAGATAGCTCATATTAGCTCCAAAATTCTAGCTAGGTTCCCAAGTTAACCAACCCAGGAGCTGAAGACGGTTGGTTAATGACTAGCCAAAATAGCCAAACATTGCTGCTACACGGCTGGGAGTAGTTGGGTACGTTGGCAACTGCTCTGCTCTGGACCATGCCCGCACGCTGAGACAGCGAGCATCATGTTTGATCCGCCTTCATTTCATCTGCAGCCCGGAAAGAAAACGATAATAGGAGCAAATCGAGCACGCACGCACGCACGAAGCTCAAGGGAACACGCGACGTTTTCACACAGAGACGTGTGTCTGCAGCAACCGCTTCCGCTGTCTGTGCATGTGCGCGTGAAAGAGAGATGCTCCTACTTGGCGGCACCTTTGGCTGTCCTTCCGTCCTGCACATATTTCAGCTTTCATTTCTACTCCCACCATTTCTAAATATTTGTCTCTTTAGAAATTTTAACAATGACTACATATATAAAGTAAAATGAGTAAATCTACAGTTTTAAATATGTATATATGCATACGTATATGATAGTCCATTTGAAATCTCAAAAAGACAAATATTTAGAAACAGAGGGAGTACCATACATATTTTGTGCATGTGCGATGCTCTAAATAATATATCAAGGGATTTTTATTTCTGTGTCCCTGGTTCATCAGTTATACTCATTTATCCCCACTTTGTTAACTTTTGCTCACTTTTCCCAAGTCCCTTGCCCGAAACCCTCAGAACAGGTTACAACGGACGTTGTCGTCGGGTCAATGCCTTTGACCGTTAACTCTGACGAGTGGGACCGCGTATACGTGGGCGCATGCAACTGACCGCGGTTGTGGGATAGCACGTGTCCATGGACATGCCCGAAACGTCCAATCATATAAAGAGGGGCAACCACCTCCATCGCCCCTACCATTTTCCCCCAAATCCCCTTCCTGCCACATCGTCTTCCTCTCCCTCACCGGCGTCGTCTCGCTCTCCTCCACTGCCTCCACCGCACCGTCTCGCTCTCCCCCACCACATCCTCTTCCTCACCTTCATCGCCTCCATCTGTTAGATGACCGAACCTCGTGGCGACATCGGCGCAGCGGTCGGAGATGTGGTGAAGCTGTAGGGCGCGGTGACCGAGGATGTCGGCGGCGTCCATGGCGGTGCGGGGAAACTCGCAACCACTACGGATGTGGAGAAGGATGTGGCGGGCTCCGCCTCAGCGTTGCAGAGGGTGACGACGTCGAGTGGCGCAGCCCATCCAGATACCCCCAATGCGCAGCCTGCCGTGGAGCAGCAGGTATTTGCACTTTCTTATCTTGTAGAGTTAGTTGCTCTCTAGTTGCATTGGTTAGATTGTGATTCATACGGTAGTTCAGATGGTTAGAGTAGTTGGTTTGACGGATGGCCCGGGTTTTTTTGTATTGGGGGGATGGGGTTTTTTGGAGTAGGGTTTGTTGGATAAAATCATTGCAAAAATGCTAGATAGATCTGTATGAGAGATAGGTATTTATGTGCTTCAATGCTACACAGATGTATGCTTATTAGATTTGTTTTTAATGCTCACAGATTGGGGTTTTTAATGTTACTCAGATTCATTGACTTAGATTGGGTCCCTATTAGATTTGTTTTTGAATGCTACTCACATTGGGGTTTTGAATGTCATATGCCCAAATGGAATCCATTGATTAAGAAGTTATTTGATTCATTAGTATATAAATTTTTCCACAATATGTAGTTATATTAGCTTTGTTGTTCAATTTGTGTGCATGACAATGGAAAATGCAAAACAATGATCATAGTGTATTGGGAGTATATTAGCCCTATGATCAATGTGTCATGTGTGCATATCTAAATTTTCAATTGGATTCCGTATTTACTAGTGATGGATGTAATTGTATATTCAGGAGGATGATGGTTGGGGGGTAGAAAGAGGAAGCTGGCCCAGTACAACCCGTATGATCCAAAGGAAAGTGATGACGAAGAATATGAGGTAAGCCTACTTGAAATTTAGATTGTTCATTTAGTTCCTTTGACCTGGTGTATCCATGAATCTATAATGTATTAATGTAACTCATTCATGTGTGCAGTATGATTCTGGAGAAGAAGTGTACAAAGGCAACGTCGCGTCCTTCACAACCAAGAAGGTGGTGAAGATCAAGGCCAATGGAGTTGCTTCCTTCTACAACCGCAAGACCAAGAAGTGGCACTGCCCCTACTGCACCACCAAGCCAAAGCCAAGGGATGGCCGCTTCGACCACCTTCTGTCTCATGCAGAGGATGTAGCGATTCGCGGGGAGAACTACATGATCAGGGGGCAGCATGCCGCCCTCGTGAAGGCCCTGACTCCGGCGTGATGTGATGATGTGATGCTACCATGGACTGAATCTTTATCTTTATCTGTTGGGTTATTTTTGGTTTGTTGAACTGAATCTGGCTGTTTATGGTTTGTTGAACTGAATCTATGGTGATGCTAGTAATGTGTTATGCTATCTATATTTGTCTGTCCTTAAATTTGCTTGTGGTGTATGGTTAGTTATGTTTAGATGTTGTGAACTATTATTTTAGGTGCTTCATTGATCACACATGTTGTTTCAGTGTTGCTTCACTGATCACACATGTTGTTTCAGTGTTGCTTCACTGATCACACATGTTATTTCAGTGTTGCTTCGGTGATCACACATGCTGTTTTTTCACAGATCATAAAGGAGTATTATCCTAATTATTTGTCTCATGTTTATTAATCAAATCAAATGCATGCTTTTTCCCACCAGCATGTTTCATTATCCGATGTTTTCAACTGACATGCGACTGGACAGTATAAATTCAAGAAAATGCAAAAACAAATATAACCTTGGGAAACTATCTATGTTTGTGTAGGATATCATGTGTGCAAAATTTGAAGTGATTTAGAGGAGGTCAAATAAATTTGAATTTGAGAAATGAGCTCCCAGGATAGGGTAAACAACCCATTTGTAATCAAGTTTTTTTGGACCTACTCTAAATGAGCCAAATGTTTTTTTATTAACACATATTTACTTTCCATAGTGTAGATTCGAAGTCTCACTATTTTTTGAATTAATCTTCATATTTTTACAAATTTTTTTGAAAACATATGCTTTAATATAAAAACAATAAAAACACGTTAAAATATGAAAATGGAAAACTAAGTTCAGATCCTTCTGTTTCACTTTGAAATAAAACTTTGGTGATTTTTTTAAATTTTCCAAAAACAGAAGGTAACCCTACCTCCTCTCCTTGAACTCTATGAAATCATGTACGTGATAGCTCATGTGTGTGAAGGTTTTCTCATAAAAATGACCATAGACCAAGTTTATGATTTTTGGTTGGTAACATGTCACATAAGACAATATTGTGCGCAGGTTTTATATTTTTCTTATTTTTTTTAAATTAATGGTGCTCATTTGACCTCGATCATGCCAGCTAGGGTTTTTTCATGAAAATGACCATAGACCAAGTTTAGTATTTTTCCTCGTTAGTGTGTCTTATAAAATGATGAACGACGAAGGTTTCATATTTTTTTCATTTTTTTAAATTAGTTATGCTCAGTTAAAGCCTTCGAAACCCCGTTGACCAGCTCAAAACCCCTCTAAACCCCGCGGGGTTTCGCCTAACCCTAGCTCCCAACGTCAGCCGTCCGATCATACCCTGACGCCAAGCGACAACCCTCAGATCTGGTCTTCTAGAAGGAATTAGGTGGACAGGCTGTGTGCAGGCTCTGCGCCGTTGGATCACAAGGACGGCTCCGCATTGTTGGATCGTGGGGCGATCCGTGAGAGGCGATCCTATTGGTTGTGCTCGACTGCTCGCCTACCACTGACTACGCGAAAAAATGCTGTTATTAGACCTAAAAGGAAACCAAGCTCTGGGTGGGCCATCGAATTGCGTCTTTTTTTGCAGCGTTTGCTTTGTTTTTTATGAACGTGATGGCTCTGCTTCTTTGCATCGTTTGAAATCAATTGACATTGTGTAGCAAAATTTAGTTCTTTTTGTTCTATACAAATGCAAAATGACCAAATTTTTAAG